AGGAGGGAACTAAAGAAGGAAAAATAGAGAATGAAGGAAGAATGAAAGGAAGGAAGAGAATGAAACTAAAGGTAAGGAGGAAGGAAGGAAAGATAAGAAAAGAAGTGGATGAAAATAAAAGTAAAAACAAAAATGAATGAAGGGAATAAAAAAGGAATAAGGAAGAAAAATAAAGGAATAAAACAGTAGAGATGTAAAGAAGGAAAGAAGGGAGGATAAAGGAAGAATGTAAAAGAAAGAAAGAAAGAAAGAAGCCACTCTGTCCTGCAGTTTGAGTAATAAAACAGATATTGTGATTATGCAAATGAGCCATTGTGAGGCGTAAAAGAAACATTGGCATGCCTCATTAGCTCCTCTCTGTCTTTCTTCACCATTATTTCTTTTTCATCTCAAGGTATTTCTATCAGTAATGATTGCATTCACAGCTGGTATGAGGGAAGACAGCTGAAAAAATGGCTTTTTAAGTGCCGCAATCACCATAAAATCTGGATTTGATCAAGTTGGCTGGCAGAGGAAATAAATTAATGAAGGAAGGGAGGCCATGTGACCCGGGCCAGGGGGGAGACAAAGGTGGCGTGGTGTGGAACGGGATAATTACCGGCAAGCAGTCCCGGCCCGGCTTCAGTCAAGGACACGGGCTGTTTATTCAAATGAGCTCTGATAAGGCTTAATGTGGACAGCGGCTTATTGCTCTCATCCTAACGAGAAAAATCACAACACTCTCAGAACAGGTGCTCCAGCAGACAAGCAACACAGACAGTGCAGTGTAAAACAGCACTAATGGCAGCTGAATAAGGAAAAAATGCCATGGTATGCTAACAGGGCAGGTGATGCTGGAGGCTGTTTTTAGGCTAAACATATGCTTCATTATGATTCCCCATCTATCCATTTAATACTCAAACAAAACAGGTTGTCTAAATGAATATAGAGGGAATTATTTCTGTATTGTTAGCCTCTCTGATGGGAGATTTTACAAAACAGGTGCAATTTGTGCTTCGAATTGACAAGATATACTGCAATTTCTACAATGAATAGCTGATGCCAAAACAGTCGTGTCGTGTCTCCACTCGCATTTATAGCATCTTTCAGAATAAAGAAATAAACAGATTTTTCAATGAAAGAAATATGAAAATAAAAGGAAGTATTTTGTCTTCATTCTCTCACTATTATGTAAGTGATACTGTATTATTAAAAAGACTTCACGTAATGGAATTTCCATAAAATAGTTTTTTTTATAAATCTCATAATAACAGCAACATTCTTTTAAGAAAGGATCTCTTCAAGTTTAATAACTTTTACTAATTATCAACTTTATATTAGCATGATTTTAAATTACATGATTTCTGTAGAAATATTAGAATTCAGTTTTTTCTTTCTAATAAGCACTAGCAGTTTCACTTCGTTGAAAGCAAAACAAAATTACACTACATCAAATTTCTCAAGTTTAGGGTCAGTAAGACATTTTTTCAATGTTTTCATTGCTTATGCTCACCTAGACAGCCTTTCTTTGATAACATACAGTAATGACAATCATTTTATGAAAAATGAATACAATTTAAAATAACTTTTTTTTTGCAAAGCTGAATTTTTAGCAGCCGTTTCTCCAGTCTCCCCTTCAGAAATCATTCGAATATGCAGATTTGCTGCCCAAGAAACATGTCTTATTATCAATGTTGAAAACTGTTGTGCTGCTTAATATTTTTGTGGAAACTGTGATACATTATTATTTTCTTTGATAAATAGAAAGTTGAAAAGACCAGCATGTATCTGATATTGAAATGTGTGTAACAAAGTCTTTACTGTTACCTTTGATCAGTTTAATGCATCTCTGTTGAATAAATGTATTAATTTAGCTTGAGGTGGCACAATGTAACTTTAATAACATTTAAACACATTATCTGTCTAACAGACTGTAAAAAATCTTGAAAAGTACTTTGAGGAAAAGGCACCCACTTCACAGAATGACCCTGCAGTAGTTTAGGTACTTCTGCAGACATTTTAAAATGAGATATGATTAGACTCTTCATGAAGAGAAAAAAATAAGATATGATTAGACACTTCATAATAAGTACATGATTAAAAAGTGTATTAATTATTTCAGCAAGGTTATCTCAAGAAACTGTAAAGTAAGCCCTGGGCTCTCAACTGAAGCTCTTCCAGATTTCAGAGCAAAAAAACATCTTGCTAAATTAAGAGCCTTTCGTGTTACTTAAGACGCAGTGGGATGAGAATGTGCATGAAGGGGGAAATTTAGAACTCAACTTCCAAGCTTAAATTAAACACCTAATCTCTGGAGGAGTCTGTCGAGACCCTTTCCAAACTGATATTAGGTAGAGCTTCGTAGGTCTCGGAGCAACCTGCCTTCCAATACAGCAGACTTAAAAAACTAGTTCACCCATAAATGAACTCACCCTCATGTTGCCCCAAACCTGACTCTATCTTCGGCATAATACAAAAAAACGATATTTATAGTAGGGGCCAATGTTATTTCTGACCCCAATCTTCTTTTTAAAAAATCATCTTTTGTGTTCCACTTAAAGGGACAGTATCCCCCAAAAATGAAAATTCCGTCATTATTTACTCGCCCTCAAGTTGTTCCAAACCTGAATGAGCTTCTTTCTTCTGCTGAACATAAAAGAAGAGGGCGAATAAATAAATGATGACATGACTTTTAATTTTGGTGTGAACTATCCAATTCTCGGGAAAAAAAAACAAAAACGAAGTACATATTGGTCCTCGTGACAGAGAACCCATTTAGCCAAGCCTCTTTCCAGCACTGTGTTCAGACCACAGGATTAGTATAATAGCCCATTTTTATTTTTCATTACCCATTAATAAGTCTCAACTGTGAGATGAAGCCCGGACCGTTTGCTCCCACGCACCTGGCTGGCCTGATCTGTCTGAAAATGAGTGCATCCATCGCTGAGCTCATTTCAGAAAATCTCAAACAGATCCATACTAGTGCTGGACTTGGCTTTTGAATGAAGCGCCCTAGAGGGTCCACGTTAACCCATTTACAACAGCACACTCAGGACAGATGATGCATAAGATCCTTTGGAGAATCAGCTGCAATGCTAGTGTATCTCACACATGATGATCTAATCTAGAGGGGCCTCGCTAATAGAATTTCTGTCTAACGTCTCATAGGAAGTTAGTTTGCCTTCACTGGATCCGTGATTTGATTTAGCTCTTTCAAGTAAATTGCGAGTGAACAAAAAGGAAAAATGAAAAACACCCTCCAGCATAATTCTGCTCCCTCATCCCTGTCCAGCGCTGTTACAGCGACTATAAAGTGATTATTAAGGATCCCTCTAAAGTGGGGAGAATAAAAATTTTATGATTTGATCACTGTTTTTTCACCCTTTCTCTTTTTCCTCACTTACTTTTTTTAGTCGTATCCTCCGCAGCTGGGCATGTGCAGTATTTGTACATATACATCTATATATACTGTGTAATAAACACATTTTATTTCAGTTTTTGTTTTGGTTATTTTAGTACATTAAGTTAAATTAAATGAGATGTGTTGCCTGGTGTGTATGTATAGATGTGTGTAATATAAGAACAAAAAGACCTACTAACTAGACCAATGTTGTTTTCAGTATCCCGTATGGAAGTCAGATGACTTTTGGAGAAGCGTCCAAGGCTATGCTGGGTAGGTAACAGAGAGGGATGTTTAATTTATGAGCAGACAGACTGTTTGGCCAGACAGATTGGTGTAAGTGAGGACAGCCTACAAGGAAGACCCAGATAAAGCTCTGCTAAACTGGGACCGGCAGAGACCAACAGTGGCATCAGATACAGCAGCATGAAAAAGATAGAATGGAAGAGAGAAACAGAGAGAAATCCATAACTCTCTGAATGAACTCTACAGCCACCCCAGAATACTTCTACTGCTTCAACTGCGCAACAACTTCTCTGTGAGCGATCACATTTGTTCTGAGCTGTTCACAAGGTCCAAGAAAGAGCCTTTTGACATAACTACCAAAACTGAGTGAACTGAGAAAATTGAATGTTTTTATCAGTAGGGTTCTATGAAATCCGTTTGAATTTTTTCCCAAATTCAGTTTTGTTTTGCTTTTTCCATTTGAATCTTTCTGGGTTCCGTTTTTTTCCTAGACTGTTTTAATGGTTAAATTAAATTGTATTAATCAAAAAGCATGTCTAAATAATTGAAATCATAAAACTTATGCAAAACAAAAAAAAATTTTCATTTTTAAGGCCCTATAGAATACATTTGTTTCTCTCTTTTTTCTCTGGTGAAGTTTAAAGACACATTGTGATTTTTTCCAAATATGAATTTAAATGTACTATAACATGTATTGATAAATAATACTAATAATGTGAAAGTAGCAGTAGCAACAGTATGTTACATTTTTTAACCAAAAAAAACAATTACATTCTATTGAAAACTATTAATAACAAAAAAAATGTTTCTTGAGCACCAAATCTGCATATTATAATGATTTCTGAAAGAGCGTCAATAAATTACATTTTAAAATATATTAACAGTAATAATGTTAACAATAATAACAGTTATTTTAAATAGTTTTTACTGTATTTTCAATTAAATTAATACAGCCTTGGTGAGCATGACTTTTTAACTACTTTTTTATTTAGAAAAAAAGACATGTAGCTGATAAATATCTACAATTGTCAATATCAAGCCAATAAAATATTTTGATAATTTCATAATTAAAAAAAAAAAAAAAAGTATTTTCACTGAAATGTCTATAGTTTTTACTTTTTTTAAATTTCTTTAATATTTTAAAGCCTGGAAATCCTAATTTTATTCCCTGATATACCCAGGTTTTCCATGACCAAAGGAACCCTGTTAGTATTATGCTGCAGTTTATAATAAAGCTTCAGGTCAACAGTTCAGTTTACTTCTCAAAGCCAATTTTTACTTGCGTTTGTCATTTGGCATGGACCCTGTGTGAACAGCATCTGTAAAAGAAAAAGACATAAACATAATACAGATATAGAGCAAATTTCAGTCTTACCTGCAGTGCGCTGTTTAGGAAGCAGCTGTTCTGACCCGGCTCATTGCTCAGGCCTTTGCTGGGAGCGATGGAGGTCATGGTGCGTGGGGTAAACATCCCCTGCAGCCCGCTGCTGCCTGAAGCAAAGTAGTTCCGCTTCCACGACATGGGTCCAGCTCCGCTCCGCTCCCCCCTCCAATCAACACAAGAGCTGTATCCTTCCCCAGCTAATCACACTGGAGGAGGAGGGCATCCTGAACAAGGTGCAGACCAGTCTGTGTGAGTGTGTGAATGCGAGAGAGAAAGAGAACAGAGAGTGTCTGTGCTGGGCTGGTCTCTATGTTACTCCCATGAGAGAGGGTTTGGTCAGTGATTACAAAACGAAAAGTATAATGAAGGAATCTGCTGGGGTTTGGTAACAGGTGTGAATATAAAAGTGATGTTTTCTCTTGAGAAGGGCGGGAGGATCTCAGTAATGTCTGTCTGTCGTGGCTAAATGGCTCCCCACACCTGAGGCGGTAAAGTGGGGTCAAACGTAATGACTGAACTGGTTAAAACCAGCTTTGTGACAGTTGCAGTGTTTATTGGCAGAAGTGTGGTCCGAGACACTGTCCTCACACTGTGATGTCCGCTGCCTGCTCTTCACCTCTGAGTTTTCTCAATGTCATCTCTCTTAGCCCAGCTGATCTGCAAAATAAATAAGGATAAATTACATTAAAAAACATTCCTTTTATTTTTCAAACAACAAGCTCAGGTGATACAACCTGCTGGTTGGAAAACCATCGTTTTCTTTGCACATTTATTTTAACTTTAACATAGCTTTGAATTTTCTGTTGTACTCTCCTTATGCAAAAGAACATGTAATCCCTTTCAGAACATAAACGTGATAAATTACTTTGTGGATTCTGCGTCTCAGACATGCACCATGCCTCTTTTCATCTCTCTCTCTCCTCCGATTGGCTAATCCAAGGAAATGAATATTTTACAAATGAAAGGTTTTACAAATTAAGATGTTTTTGAAGTCTAATATGTTCACCAAGGCTGCATTCGAAAATACAGTGTGATTTCGTCTTGTGAAATCCACCCATTACTCCATTCTTCTAATGAATTTCTTCAATGTCACATGATCCTTTAGAAATCATTCTAATATGCTGATTTGATAATAATAAAAAAACATGTCTTATTATCACAGTTGAACACAGCATAATATTACAAAATAAATATAATATTTTTGTGGAACCATGATACATGATATTCAGGATTCTTTGATTAAAAGAAAGTTAAAAATAGCAGCATTTCTTTTGTAACATTTGCATCGCTTTTGAACAATTGAATGTGTCCTTGTTGAATAAAAGTAATAATTTCTAAAAAATAAAAATAAAAATAAAAATTGTTTGGATATGCCACAAATGAAAGTACTATGAAGTAACCAATATACAAACACTTGTGACCACCACACATCTGTTGAATTTTATATTGACGTGGAATCTTTCCAATTCTACAATTATTATAAATGCATGTTTCCCTCATATTTTATTGAGAGACTACATGTAATATTTGTACTTAAAAGATTAATTTGTCCCACCACAGCACCATTCAAAATTAATTTATAATTTGAGTTAAAATGCTAACTCAAAGCTTAAAAGGGAAAAATACATTTCCTTATGCATTAGTAAATTTGAACCTAAAATCTTTTTGCTGAAAAATAAATGTTTATGGCCAGGTTGTGTGTCAACCACCTATTTTGTGTTTTTACTCCTCTTTTATGTACTTAAAACCAATCTAGCACACTGACTGCCATGTAAATATTTAATATTTCAACCACAGTATACATGCAAAATCTCCACTGTTTTCAACCTGGAAAAAGTGAGTGAGAGAGGAAGGTAAAGAGAGAGAGGAAAGACAGTAGCACTGCAGAGACACAGCTTGCATCACAGAGCTGTCCTGCCAGGTTGGAGGCCGCGGCGTGCTGAGCAAATGTCCTATTCCCACAACTACATAAATACATGCCCACGTTCACACACAAAACACACACTCTGTCCACATGGTCCAGCCGGAGCCAGAGCGAGGCCCCGCAGTGTGTCCTGTTCTCCTGAGGCCGAGGCATGAAGAGGGATGTTCTGATGTGGAAGAACAGTGAATGTGACAGACCTGAGGCAGGTGTTACACGGGGTCACAGAGAAACATTTTTCCTGCTCTTCTTAATCTGGGTCAGCTCTGTGGAAGCTATAACTGCCTGCTGATCGATTCAATGACATAGTAATTTAATGAATTAAACTGAACAATTTCAGCACAGATAAAGCTTACACTCACTGCAAAACAATAATTGTTTGCCAATAAAACCAACTAAAAAAAAAGATAAGCCCTTTCATATGTTCACCCAAACTTCCTGTCCTGTCAAAACATTTTTGTTACTTTTTAATGGGAAACTACACAAAATGTAAAAATTATGTGAATATTAAACAAATATTTGTTAATAATTTTTATGTGTGGAATCCAAACACCATGATGATCCACAAAGTAATCTTTTAATGAAATAATGTATTAAATCTATTCATAAAATGTATTATTAGGGAAACATTAATATTCAAGTTATTAAAAGTTCAATATTAAATATTTAACTATTAAATAACTTGAATATTTAAAACTATGTATATTTAAAATGTTAAAAAAAGATTAAAGTCGTCAAAAAATTATTGATGAACAAAGTGACGTTTTAATTACGAAAGTCATCTATATTTTCAATTCAGATTATTAAGAGTAATAAATTAACAGCAAATTAAACTACTAAAATTCATGCTAAAGACCCTAAATGCATTACAATACAGCAGAATAAAAATATTATTATGAAAACATAAATACTCAAGTTATTTAAACTTATTTAAATGTTACATTTTAAGTATTCGAAAATATTAAATATATCTGCAAAAAGTCATGTCCAAAATATAATGATCCACAAACTGATGATTTAATGAAGAAAGAGTTTTTTATATATATATATATATATATATATATATATATATAT